CTGAGCTGAAGTCCACAAAGAGGGCCTGTGCATAGCTCCCTGGGGAGTCGAGGTGTTGCAGGATGTAACGCAGTGCCATGTTCGCTGCATCGTCCACTGACCTGTTCGCCTGGCAGGCAAACTGCAGGGGGTCCAGCAGGGGGTCTACGATGTCCTTCAGGTGGGCCGACACCAGCCTTTCAAAGGACTTCATAACTACAGATGATGTACAAATTTTGCAATCATAACAATCACAACCTGAACATTGTTTCTGGAAAGACGCATTGGTGAGTTTACAGTGTAATGGCAGTATGATAGCTGTGCCTGAGAGTCACCCCTATTCATAAACACACTTACTAAGATGGAACATTTGGACCCCACTTGGCATCGAGTTGTGATTTGAATCTGGATCTGTTATCTGGATACTGAATGTGATTTGGGGTCTTTGCCATTACTACTGGTAACTGTTCTAATTATCCCCAGTCTTCCTGCATGATGACCAGATCGAAACAAGTAAATTAGGTTGACAAAGCTTGTGGATTTTTGTGACAAACAAGTCCCAGTAATGTAAAAAGTGAAAAAGAAACCACATCAAGTAAATCAAAGTAAGAGATCATTTATACTGATTATTACCGTGTGATCAGTGTGAGAATATGTTATTTTGGACTGTTATCAGGAAAATCATATGGTTACGCAGATGTGGTTAAGGACACTACATGTCATGTTCACTGTACCTCCCTCGTTATGAAATTAGGCCAAAATATGATGATATGTATGATTTACTTTTCATTGCCCCTCACTTTAGACATTTAAGTTCATTTTTTGTTGCATACTTTATTTCTACAGTAAAGACTTACATTAGCGATGCACGTCTGATTTGAATGCCGACAAACCAAATGAGATTTCAAAGGAATGATTAATTATAACATAGAGGTGGTTGTGAAACTGCAGATACAAATTTATACAGTGTCTTGTTCATATAGACTTCTCTATTGCAAAACTGAACATTAAACACATTAATCAGCTCTCTTTAATTTTTTGCTTTGTTATAACTGGATATATTCAGGCGATTTTCTAGGGTACCTAAGGCAGAGGTAAAACCAAAGCTGTTCCTGACAATGTTTGGCTATTCTGAGAAGACTAGAGAGTTTCTCAAATGAACCTGGCAATCCCCAGGAAAACTGATTACAGTACCTCCCACAGGGGTGGAGCAAACACACACAAAAGAAGGGACAGCACCATTTCAGTCATTCTTTTTTCATGCACTGATCCTTTTCTCTCTTGGATAAAATTTGACTTTGTAATGAGCAAAAAAAGTTATATGTTGACTGTCTTTGAAGCATGAGATATGTGCGTCACTGACAGGTGACAAGTTAAAGGAAAAGCCTGAATAAATGAATGGTCTCTTCCAGGATGACATTGCCATCATGCATAGGGCGCAGGGGCTCACTAAATTGTTTGATGAGACTGAAAATGATGGGAATCATTTGCTGTGGCCTTCACAGTCACCAGATCTCAACCCAGCTGAACACCTATGGCAGATTTTGGAGCGGCGTGTTAGACAGCGTCTCTGGAAAAGTTAAGTCAATCTCAACAGATCACTTAAAATGGGATCGCTGAAAATAATAATAATAATAATGATAAGAAGAAGAAGAAACACTAAGCTTTTACTAAATGAAAACATCAGTCCTGGTTTTTTATTTCCTTTGATTTTAATTTTTCATTAACACTGTTCATGACATATATACATAACATTACAGTGTAACTACCCATTCTGATTGAAAGTATACATCTCACTTTGCAGACAAATGATAAAATCCACTTCATATACATAAATGTTCTCAGTAGAAATGAAGAGTTATACTGACTTGTAGAAAACATGGAAACTGCTTCTGAGTACTTCCAAATGACTTTCAGCTCAAACATTCTAGCAAAAGCAAATTTATAAAGAGTGTTAGCAAATGAATTACAGTACAACGATGACCCATATCACTCTAAATGTGAGCTTAAACAACCGCAGGGAATTTTTACTATTTTGTATAATAGATGTTTGGAAAAGAATTCACCATGCACTGATCTACAGTGCCCTGAACAATGGTGAAAACAACTCCAATGAAAAATCACTGTCATTCTGTTCATGGCTGTTTATCTGTCCTGCATGTAGGATTTGTCGTATAAGTTACAGTATCATATATGACTGAAGTACAGTCTACACAAAGGTTTTTGTCTGTCTGAATAGAAACGATCACAGGATGCTTGGGTTTCATGGATACAGGAGAACATGAAGACACATACTAGCATCTGGTCATGCACATATCTGTACATTCCCTGCATTTTAAAGAAGCATTAAGTGATTTCTGACCTTTATTAAACACTACAGGAAGCCTGCTGGGAGTGCCATTGAATCCTTAGAGTGACAAATCCCCTCATAGATCTGACCAAACAAAGATAAGGAAATATACACAGTTTATATATTTTTAACTTTTTCCACCTTCATGCACAAACATGTGGTTTGAGGCCAGAAGTATGTGGATACTGGAAAAATTTGTATATCTCATTGCTCAACCATGTGCAATAAGGTGATGCTGTAACCACCTCCACTTTTCTGGTTTCAGACTTTTAACCAGATGTTGAACCTGACGGCAGGGATGTGCTCTTAGTCAGCCACAAGACTATTAATGATTTCCAACACTGATGTTGGGTGATAAACTCTGACTCATGATGGGTGGGGTCGAGGTCAGGGCTTTGTGCAGATTAGTCACCTTCTTCCACATTAAACTGAGAAAATAATTCCTTTATAGACCTGGCTTTGTTGAAACAGGAAAGGGACAATTACAAATAGATGGCACATAGCTGGATGCACTCCATTGTCTAAACTGTAACTGTTTGCTGTAGCACTAATACTGTACAGTACCTCATCTGTCCTACAAATGAGCAGTACTGGGTCAGCTGTACTTGGTCAGATAAAGTCAAAGGCCACAGATCATGATCAAAATCCTACTCATCCCCCCTTTAAATGACATTTTATTCTACATTCAATCATACTGACCAGTGATTCATATTTTGGATGTCACTTGAATGCAACTTCTCTTTCACAAAGTAGTTTCATTAACATCAAACTGCTTCAGTGTCTAGTCAGTTTATATCACACCACCCTTAGCTAACTGTAAAAGCACCCTGGTTACTGTAAGCAGTTTGTAAAGTTAGCAGCACTAGAGAGTACAACATACAGTGAAAGGCAAGTTAGCAGTGGAACGTCCTGGAGGACAGATGTGAGTACAGCTGAATCAGGTTTTGAGGTCTAATTCTTAGTTTAAGCATTTTTTACTCAAATGGAAAAACCTTTATGTTACTCTTCAGCTCAAAGGCAGTGTGGTCAGTATATGTGAACAAAAAAGGTGGTTTATCTCGATCAGCTTCATAAGATTAGAGAATGGAAAATAGTCGATATGTTTTAACTAATTGAAACAGCAGACATATTTGCTTTTTCTCTGAGAGTTAAATGAGAGGATGAATATCAGTCTCTTGTCTGTGTGTCAGTGCAGAGCAGGAGTCAGGAATACCTGAAAGGTACACGATGTTACACACGAAGTTACACATTTTATACTGTTTGTTTAATCTGTACACAACCAGAAATAGAAAAATTAAAACTTGTGCTTTTAGCCATAGCATGCAGTAGAACTTGGTGAATAACATTTTATCCATTCACCCAGTATTTCTGTGCAAGACTATTTCTGACTATTATGCAGTTTTTCAAAAAAAAAAGCAGTCTTTGAAGACTGGTTTGAATTTCTGCTATGACTGAACCAAAGCTGGCAACCTCACAGTGCACCCAGCTGCTGTTTGCCAAGACATACTTCCCCTATTATTACAAATGATCACACTTACATTGTGTGTGTGTGTGTGTGTGTGTGTGTGTGTGTGTGTGTGTACAGATTAAACAAGTGAGATATAATATGTTTATCATTACATTTTAGAGGCATTGGTGCTTTCTTTTTCACCCTGAAAGTGCCAAGTTCGCTGCTGCCCCTGGGCCCAGTCTTTATGTTAAGCTAGACAAAGTATATTCTGCCTCCAGCTCTGTATTTAACACACAGAGAGATACAGTAGGTCTCACACTTGGAAAGAATTTAAATAGTTATATTTCCAGCAATGTTGAATTATTCCTTGAAATTAGCTACAATTCAAGTAGCAAAGGAACATGTTTTTATTTCTGATCACAAATACTGATGTGACCACCTTTAAGCAACACAAAGATTTCTACAATTAAATACAATTTGAGGATATTAGAAAAAGAAAATACAGTGATTTCAACCTTTGCAGTGCGTTACACACACATAGACATGTCTACAACACTCACTGCATACTTACATAGTAAGAGAGTCTGGGCAAAGAGGTTAACTTGTTGAGCTATACAGTGCACAACGACAATATAATACAGCAATTATTAACACAGCAGGTTTTGACTCAATGTTAAGACTGTAGCAGTTAAGATAAGGAAGGACAACTTATTGACAGAAGCCGGTGGAGTCGGGATTAATGAAAATCTGCAGGCACATGATTAAAGAATACTGCTTTCAATTTAGGAATAGTATTTTCTTGTGGACATATTTTATAAAGCACCGGTGCCTGTGACAACAAACAATGTATGAATTCACAAATTTTGACTGTGATTCTAGGAGAACAGGAGGTTTGTGTCATTCCTCTAGACAAAAAATTTTGAAACATAAATTTGCTATCAATGTTTTTTAAAAATCAGGAATTCAGGTGGTGAAACCACAGAAGAAGTCATACAGGTTTCCCTTACCAAGGGACCTCAAGTCAGTGAAAGCCAGAGTTCCTGCCTTTGCACATCTCACAGCCTCTTCTCGCAAACCAAATTAGTGGGTGTCTCTAAAAGGTTTCACACTTAACCCCACACCCTCTCACAGTATATGTAAGAAACATTACTACAAGGCATATGTTGATGAAGAAGGGGCTCCCCCGATAAAATTATGCAATTTATATGCATGCAAATGAAACTATAGTTTGACAGAATTTGTTTCAAATGTGTGTTTCTCCCTCTATACATTCCTTTTTATAATCTACAGAGGAAGATTTTGAATTCAAATGAGGTTTTGCTTTCCAAAACCATAAACAATGACTTACAGTCTTTGCCTTTACATGTCTGTATAAAGGATGTGAGAGAAATTCAGTTTCAGCCCATTTGAACTTGTTTCTCAATAAACTGGAGCTTTTCTTCAGTGCTCCTCACAGGATCCCATGCAAATCAAGATTGAGTTTGTCATCAACACTCAAGCTTACAAGGACAAATCCAGAGTCAGTTTAGCCATTGATCACACTCCTGCTAACAGGACAGCCTGAGAAATCAAAAGCACGGCTCTCTCAGCCTCTGGTTTTTGGTCCACCTCTGATGCATTAACCTCAGTAGTTTTTCCAGGCAGAGGATCAGTCATTGGCTTATACGCCATTATTTCCATGTAGGGCAGGAAAGCCCTTAACATATGTTATATACATCCACTGGATGTAAGGCTGTGAGGAAAGTCTACAGGCCTCAGATTAGCCTCTCCTCTGGAGGCACTTTGAGGACACTGCCCATCTCCAACCTGGCACCAGCCACCTCCTGTGAGCTGGGGCTGTATGTGCCCTCTGACTGACGTTTCTTCCGAGCCAACGTGATGAGGAAGAACACCACCAACGTGGCCAGTAACACACACAGCGTGGTCAGAGGGATAGTCACCAGCAGCCAAGGAACTCGCTCCTTATGCTCCTCTTTCTGAAAGATGACAGGCCATAGAGGAAGTGCCATTTGAAACTATTAATCAAATGTAAACTTGTACATCTTAGTATGTTGTTAACACACTTTGGTTTTGATGTTTTCTAAAAATGTTTTTCACAGATTATCTTTGACTTTTGTTTATTTTAGCAGGTATAAATGTAACAGAAGGTGGAAACTGAACAGTAAAAGCCCTTTTCAGACAGGCACCACAACCCTGAACTTATCTAGACATTTACTGGAGAAGCTGCATGTGTGAATGCAAATGTCCGAGTTAATTAGCCTGGATGTTAAGCTGACTTTACCCTGCCAGCTCCCTAGCACACAGTCTGTGTAATGTCTGTTTGAGCCTCTGTGCGAACAGAGCAGATTCTTCTCTGAAAATTTCACACAGAGCCAGCAGGTGTGTTGATGATGTTTTGTTATGTGACTGGAGTGAAACCAGAGGAACACAAACACACAGTGGTGAAGAAAAGGAATCACTCTGTCTGAAGTTCATGTGTAAAAACAGCTTAAGTTAGAACACCTGACAGGGACATCCTATCTAATTTAAAATTAGGATAAAGACTAACATCACAGTCCAAACATTGCTCTGTTTTACTGTTTCATAAGTAATCTATAAATCTTATAACTTATGTAAAGCACTACAAACTCTGCAACCTTTAGCGCTGTTATAAAAATTCTGAAACTTCATCGTTTTACACTGGACTGGAAAAATACACTATAGGACATAGCATACATTATTGCTAATTTACTGACACTTGTATTCAAACCAGAGCATATGAATGGAGCGGTGAGAATTTCCTCTCCTTACTCACTGAGCTGTTCGCCCGCTACCACCCCAAAGCTGCACCAGGTTGCTCTGCTCATTATTGCTCAGCACTCTGCTCAAACTGCAGCCCACTCCTCTCAAATCACACCCACCAGCTCAAAAAAAAGGAAAGAGTCTGCATGTACTTCACTTTTTCTTATATCCCAAAAATCTAAAGAACAATGATTACTTTTTTCCCAGTATAAATGATTTATTTCAAATTACAGTTAGGCCTGTGTCACAAGGAATATAACACAAAAAGTCACATGTAAAATTTACTGACTCAATGGACCTAATTAAAAATATACAGCACTCCTGTAGGACTGTTCAGTTTCCTTTTTAAAGTACTTTGGAACTCCATTATTGAGCTCACAATGGATGATTTTTGACTGAAAAGTGTTGGATGACTGTGCAAGGCACAGATGTATTCTGGGTCGGGCTTGGACATGCTTCAGGCTCCAAGTGTGAGCGGTACCGGAATTGGAACAGGACATAGGGTGATGCTCCCTCCTTTTTAAAAAAGCCGCTCTGTGCTCTGTCCAAAATCCCCTGCTCGTGTTCCACTCACATGCTCTGGTTCAAACTACATTTTAATAAATGTCTGTGTTGTTTATTATTTCTAGGTCTTGGCTTTTGTGGCAGTTACAGGGAACCTGAAGCTAAGCCATGAACTTTAAACCCATCATCCAGATTCAGGTTCTGTTTGAGCACATGCACTGTGAAGGTGAATTAACTCAGAGCCAGTGAAAATATCTTTCAGCCACTTACATTGCTCTCACAGTGTTTGCCACTGAAGCCTGGCATGCACACACACTGGAAGTGATTGAGTCTGTCCCGACAGGTGGCATCATTGAGACAAGGGTTGGACTCACATTCGTCTATTTCTGTCTCACACCTGAAACACATCAGCAGGGTTTGAACGCAATGCCAACTGACAGAGCAGCAGCTAACACGCATATGTTCTCCTGACCTTTACACTTGGATAAAGTTCAGACACACTTTCTCCAGAGCAGCATGTGTGTGTTGAGGAATGTGTGGTGTGCTGCTCTCACCTGGCTCCAGTGTACCCAGGCTTGCAAGTGCAGTTTCCTCCAGAGTCACCTCCTATACACACCCCTCCATTGAGACACTCTGTTTTTGCATCACATGCCACTGGAGGGAAGCGCCACCTATTGGACACATTTCACTTTATATTACTTTATTTTAGACAGTGTAGCCGAAGTAAAGGATTGCACAGTGGGTGATGGATCTAACTTCCTAAAATTAATTTATATAACCAGCACCTTGACATATTGTGCAGTATTTACTTTCTTCTGGAGAATCTGTCGGTGTAATATGTAACTTGCACTAACGAAGGACATACAGTGATGATACATGATACAAAGATGTAAAGTAATACATTTACCCTTGTCTCTCTTATATCCTGTGTGTTCCACATTTTGATCTGTAGAAGCATCCTGACGTAATGTCTTCAGGAAACACATCGTACTGCATAACCAAGTGAAGCTAAACAATAATGTTGTTTTTGGCTAAGGACCTGGTAACTCTGCCTAGACACATCATATATACTGTAGAAAGGACTTTTTTACAATATTGAAATGATGCATGAGACATTTTGCAGTGCTGATCATATGCCTTTCTCTGAGTATCATTTAAAAATGAGGATAGAGATGCATATTTTCAGACATTTATAATGTTGCCCTTGGTTATTTGATGTGAAAAGATGTGCCAGAAATGAAAAGAGAGCTGGCAATGTGGATGTGAATGTCAGAGTCCTGGTTTGGGAAAGTTACAGAAGTGGTCAGATACAGACACCACTTGTCTGTCAGGCTGGTGTGGGTATCAACTGATGATCCAGCAGATTTGTAAGAATATGAATTCAGCTTAAGGTTGAATAAGAGACAAGCCTGATCACAAAAACATCTAATACATGGTTGAAAGGGGTGCTCCAGGACTTGTGCCAGACAAACCAGGTTTTCCACAATTGTAGTTTGTAGCACAGCGTTTTTGTTAACAAGTTGTAGTCCAAGTCCAAGCTAAACTACTCAAGTGATGTCTCTTTGGTATTTTTCTAAAGCTTGACAAACCCCTCGCGCAGCCACACAAAACATTTTAGAACTGTTTTCACAAAACCGATTTAACTCCATGTCAAGGCATTCTGACCTAACTGAGTCTAATAGTAAATTTAATTATGGCAAAAATAATAATAATAATGGAAAAATGCCCAGAATGAGTTGCAGAGAAATAGAAAGGTGGGTACTCACTGGCAGCGCTTGCCGATGTAGCCAGGAGGACAGGAACATGTATGACTTTCCACACAGGTTCCTCCATTCACACAGCTGAACTCCAGACAGTTATCCACCTCCTCCTGACAGTTCTTCCCTTTGTATCCAGGCTCACAGTTACACTGGTAGTCCGCCAGGAGGTCTTTACATAAACCGTACACACAGGGACCTGAGGAACACTCATTTATCTCTGTCTCACACAGCATCCCCTCCCAGCCTGAGCTGCAGCTGCAGTTAAACTCATAAAACTGGTCCTGACACACACCCTCGTTGAGGCAGGGTTGGGAATCACAGACTGGTGCACCTTGGCATCCTATAATTGGCTCATGTCCACCCAGTATGGAGAACCGGCTCACCTGGGGGGGTTCTGGTACATTAATGAGAGGCAGGTAGACTCCACCCACTCTCACCTCCCCTAAACAGCCAGTGTAGTTCTCAGCCAGCCAGATCTTAGTATCATTAAGAAAGTTGAGGTTGCCACCGACATTGAAGCTGACACCCACTCTCTGCCCATCCACTGAAAGGCTCCAGCGAGATGTCAACTGCACTGGGTCAACCATAGTCAGCAGGATGTGGTGCCACACTCCATCTGCAATTGTCCTGTCACTTGTGAAGGCCAGCAGCTCTGAATTTGCCCCGCTGCCCAGTTTGACCAGCAGGGAGGAGTTAAGCAGACCCAGGCAGAAGACCTCAGCTCTGCTGGTGGCCCGCAGCAAGACACCGTTCTCGTCCCGTGTTCTTATGTTCATGGTGATGTTGGTTACAGGACTCAGCAGGGAGCTGTTGGCAGCATACTGGAGGGAGTTATCCTGAAAATTGGCCTCAGTTAAACCTGTAGAAGGAGAAGATCATGAGCAGCTGTGCCAATTATGCCAATTCAAAACTTAATATGTGAAAAGTCTTGGATGTTGCATGATTGATGTGTTGATTAGAAAACTATATCGAGCTGCTGTCACAGGAGCAACAACCTTTTCCCTTTATAAACTGTCTTATACTGTATGTAAGGTTTACATATGTGCAACAACATCAGCATTGTAGGATTGTTTGGGAACATTGCATCAAACACTGGAAGGGAGTATAAATAAATGCAAATAAGGCTGCAGCTTTAAAAGCTGAACAGTTAAACAATTAAGAAGTTAGAGAAGAAACTGTCTCTTAGACCATGATATCCACACCACAGACCAATGACAAGACATTTTAATTAATATCCCTGAGAGTCAAAGCACCACAAAATAAAAAAATGTAAAAAAAAAAATCTAAATATGTGCTATTTTCAGCAGAGAAGCATAGGCTGCCAAACTATCCCACAACCTGTTACTGACTTACTGTATCAAATCCAAGATGGATTTAAAATCCCACTGCAGTAACTCAGACAAAGTGAGAATGAAAAATGTGAAAAAAGAAGAGAAAACGATCATGATGTTGCTTTATCTTAGTATGTTGCATGATAACCTTTCTTCTCTGCACCTCCACAGGGCACTTCTCACAAATCACAGACATTCTTCCCTCTGTTGTTCTTCCTGATGTCACTGAGGGACTAGGGTTGGCAGGCAGTCCATACCATTTAATGTTAAATGGCCCTTTAAAAGCTTTTCAGGACTATTGGTCTAATTAAAAATACTTAAACAAATAAACTTGACCTGACATGACTTGACTTGCCCTGCCTTAATGGGGAGAGTGAAAATCACTAACAAAGGATTACTCACACTCATAACCATCCTGCAGCTCGACACAGTGTGCTCCTTTGAAACAAGGGTTGTCGACGCACCACAGACGTGTTTCACAAAGCCGGCCTGAGTAGTTAATGGAACAGTTACACTTGAAGTCATTCCAGGTGACCTGACACTGTCCAGCATTGAAACAGGGCTCATCCTGTGCACAGACAAACACAGATGGATGGTATGGATCAGCACTTGTAAACTCTCTCACCTGATGTGACTGCAGGGGTAAAAGCTGCAGAGAATGTTAGCTCACAGATCAAAAGGATTCAAACCAGATTAATGTTAACAGGGTTGAGGCAATGCAGTACACCCAGGTTATCTGACAGCATGGCAAGGTGCTACCACAATTAGCACAAGTTCAGTTTTAAAAAGCCACATAGTGCCTAACAGAGCTTTTCATTAAAGTTGAACATTTGTGAGAAACATTTATCAGTCTCTATGCCAAATATGATGCATTCTGCTTAATTACTTTACATAATGAGACAGTAATGTTGATGGGTAGTGACAGCTGTTGTGGTGTAAAAATAATCAGATAGTCTTACTTGTGCTCCATTACAACAAGAGTGACATTGTAAAACTTATCAATTCAGCCTTTATCTACATTTCATTTGATCTTGATAGACGTATACATTTAATCCAGCCTTTGTCTGTTCTGTAGTTCAAGTGATCATACAACAGACTATATGATTTCTTTTACCTTGCATGTGTCATCACTTTGACATCCGGGCAATACATTCTCTACTGCGCTTGCCTGGTAAACCTCCACCCCCTCTGGATGATCCTCAGTGGTCAGATGCTTGTGGTCCAGCTGAATGTCTTGCAAGCAGCCCTTGAAGTGTCCTCCCCATGCGTTCATGCTCATGCCTGCAGGGAGCCCTCCAACATATGCCACATCCCCTGCCTCTACACTCACATTTCCTAAGGCACGACGGTCCCCTGCTTTGGGGAAGACTACGTGGCCATAGCGTAACCTTAAGGTCACCAAATTATTTTTGCCATCAGTTACAGACTCGGCCTCTGATCGCAGTGTGGTGTGAGGGCTGTAAATAGCAACAGTGCCTTCCTTTAGATAGACTGTCAGGTATGGTGTTCCTCCTCGGTGGAGCTGCAGGAGCAGACCACTGTGTTTATGGGAGCGCACTATAAAGGAAATGGTAAAGTTTTCTCCGTGGTTTTCTGAGATGTTGAAGGCGAAGTGGCTGGTGGTGTTCTCATGGCCAAAGGTCCAGGATGGGTACTCTGAGGTGGGAGTGGGGAGCACACATTATCAATATCTTATCCCAACACAAGGTTATACTGTATGTCTATCAGTGATACTGTATTTGTTTTAAAAATTGTTTTTTTTTTTTTACATGAAATATCAGTCAGAAATTTGTACACAGCCTGTAAAACCATTTTATAATGTCATGTGTGGCTCTGAAGGAGCATTTTCAAGACACATCAACAATGGGAAGAGTAAACATTTTTAACAGAATAAAATTAATGATTCATTAGACTATGGGAGATCTTCAACTCACGCCTCCGGCAGAGCTTTGACCAGATCCCGGGGAAGGCTGGAGATATTGAGTCCGAGTGGACCATATTCTCCACCTCCATTGTCGATGCGGCCATTCGGAGCTGTGGCCGTAAGGTCTCCGGTGCCTGT